TCCAAGTGAAAAGTAAAAAGGGCCCGGGGCTGCAGCTCAGGGCTCAGCCTGCAGGCGCTGGGTTCAATCTCAGGTGCCTGGAAAAGGAAAACCTCACTGGACACCTCAGGAAGATCAGGACATTTCTGCACTGAAACTTTACACATTCCCTGAAGACATGCAAGCGTGACCCAGAGGACTTCTCTCTCAGCTTGCTGGAAAAAGCATTTCTCTGCCCAGGGGAACAGCCTCTCGAGGCCCCATCTCTGGCTATGGGTGTAGGGTAAGAACATGGGGCACAGACACCAGCGGCCTTTTCTGGAAGGGACATGGGCCAGTGAAACTGACAGGCAGGCTGAGCGCCTGCGGGCCACACTGCCTGAGGGATAACTCAGAAATCTTGGCTGCGCTTCAGAACCAATATTGTTCCAGAGATGGCATCGCCCTGAACAATGTCCTCAGTGTGTGCAGCCCAGGCAACCTTTCCCTACACACACAGCAGGGCCATTTTCTCTGCCACTGCTTGGAGGCAAACAGCTGATGCCAGGGTGCCCAGTGGGGCGGGGAGGACAGGGAAGTGGAAAGCCCAGTCCTCTGGGGACACAGGTCCTGCCCAGCAAGGACACAGCCAGGTCTGCCGATCGGGTTGGAGCAGCGGGTTGGACCTGCCAGCTGGTGGCAGGTCCCAGCCCCGCCACTCTCCTTAACCTCCTGTCCCAGCCTCACTTTCCAGAGGGACCCAAGAGCACAACGTTGTCCATGGGCCGCTGTCCCTCTTCATACCCCGCGGCGGCAGCACAGCAAACGGCAAACTCTGCTCTGCCGGAGACTCTCCCTGGCGGACTCCACTGCAAGGGCTCAACAGCTATGTGCAGAGAACACTTCAACTAAAACAGACTGGAAACAGCAACAGACACGTGGCCACAGATCCCCTCAGAATCCCCCTCCCTTCACCCGCACTCGGCCCCTCCTCCTTGCCCTTCTCTGCTTTTCCGTGCCACTCTCCGCAGCAGATCTGGAGTTCTCTTTCCTGAGCACCTGGACCCAGTCTGACCAGAAACACAGTACATGTCACTGCCCAGCACCACCCAGAAAGGCAGCTCAGAAAAACATAACACTGTGTCCTCCTCTACCTCAGCCACCAGAGCTGGAACTGTGCCACCCTGGCTCCTCCTCAATGTCAAGATGACTGGGAAGGGAAAAAGTTTGAATCCATTCAGGACAGCACAGCTAAAGACCCTCAGGAAAGAGGACTCCACAGCTGCTGCGGGAAGCGGCCAGGACGGTGGGACGAGTGAAAAGGACACACACCTGTTATTTCAACACTGGGTGGCTGAGGCAGGAGGGTCACAAATTCAAGCCTAGCATGGCCAACCTAAGACTTAGTGAGACTGTCTCAAATCTAAAAATAAGAAAGGCTGGGGATGTAGCTCAGTGTGAAGACCCTGGGTTCAATCTCCAGTACCACAAAAAAAAAAAAAAAAAAAAGACAGCTATTGGGAAGGTTCCGCTTTCTCCCCAGCGTGGTTTGTTTTCACGTTGAACTTGGTGGATCGCAGAAACTCCACAGTTTATTTTGAGCACAGCCCTGCTGGTTGTGGAAGGTCAGAGCCCTTGAGAGATATGGGGACCCTCCCTGCCCTTTCGATCAGCACGGCGGGGCAGCCCAGACTCCCCACTCCCGGCCTCCCCTCTCCCCCCAACAGCCGCTGCCGTCAGTGCACAGGTGATTGCCCAGCCCAGCATCCAGCTGCCACGACCAGCTGTGCGTGAAGTCACCTCACATCTGCAAGCTCTGGATCCTCATCTGTGAAGTGGGGACTCCTGGGCCCCACCTCACAGGTGCCACCAGAGAACAAAACACCGCACAAGCTCAGGACCCTCCTCGGAGTAAGCATTCGTTGTCACATAGCCACTGGCAGCTTTGTTTTAGTATCGGTGCGTTCTGCCCATCTGCATATGAGTGGGTTTAGTTACTACCCTTTATTTTTATTTGCAGTACTAGATGAACTATTTTCAGTGTAAGGCAAATCGAGGGGTACTCTACCACCGAGCAACATCTCAGCCCTTCTTGAGTTTTGTTTTACCTTAAGAGAGGTTCTCACTAAGTTTCCCAGGCTGGCCTCAAACTTGCAGCCCACCTGCTTCAGCCTCCTGAGCAGCTAGGATGACAGGCATTGTGCTTTTCTATAGTGTCAAAGGAAGGTCCAAAAGTCCAAAAGAAACAGCAGTGCTTCTTGGTGCCCAGCATCGTAGGGAGGATCTGCAGGTGTCCCGATCAGTGCTCAGAGCCAGAACAGGAAAGTGTCCTGCCTCAGCCATCCTTGGCCTGCCACACCCACGTCCAGAGCCAGGCTCCTCTGCAGCAGCATAAGGCCCTCCTTTCCCTATTTCAAGCCTGGGATATACAGGGCTGAAGGTGGCAGTGTGGTGGCAGCCACAACACTGAACCTGCAGTCGGTGTTTGCCTTTGAGCCTTAGGACTGTTATGGTTTCCATGTCAATGCCACCAAAATGTTCCTGTGGCCACGGGGGCGGGGTCTCTGAGAAGGCGCCTGGATGACAGAGCACTGGCCACATCCCTGGAGCTGTGCAGAGCTAACTGTGCTATAGCGGCCAGTCCAGGCTGAAGAGATCACAGGGTGTGACCTGGACAGCACATTCTCACCCCGCTCCTGCCTTTGCTTCCTGCCGGTCCTCTGGAAGGACCGCTGTCTGGTTTCCTAGATGATGAACCCATAAAACAAAAACAAAAGCAAAAATTTAAAAAAAAAAACTTCTCCCTTAAATTGGGGTGTCAGGTGTTTTGTCCAAGGGGCAGAAAAGTGACGAACACTGACCGGCCGACCACCCCATTCAAACCCGCCTGCCACCTGGTCTTCTCCTGGCTCAGCTGTCTGTCCTCCTCCCCGTCCTCCCCCCTCCTAAACTTAATGCTCCACCCTTTCTAACAAAAAGAAGGTGAGCAGGGCACTCCACTTGTCAGATCCATGGAACACATAAGCACAGGGATCCTTGGTGCAGGGAAAGACATCGTCCCTCTTGTTTCTGTGGCAAGATTGAATAGGCCCCCTCCAGGAGGTGACACCCTCGCTGTCACTCATCCCCATGGGGCACCTGCATGAGCCAGGCCACCGGCCCCAGCCTCAGCCCGCAGGAATCATAGCGCCCAGCTCCACAGGGCAGGGAATGGAGGCCTTGCTGTTCCTGGCTGCACCGTGGCTTTCACCAGGCAGCTTCTCACGGCACATCAGGGCTGGAGGAGCCAGGAAGCATGGCCAGCACCTCTGCTGACTCCACGTAATTGGTCATGCATGGTTTACTGGAAGCACCGACGTGTGCTTCTCAAGGTGCAGCCAAGGTTAGAATGGGAGGCTTGGCTTCTTGTGCGAACAGGAATTCAGCTGGAGCTCAGTACGGCAGGGTGTGAAGAGCTCTCCAAGTCAGCGGCTGCAAAAACCAAAGCTGCTTCTCCCACATCACTGAAATTTATCCATAATGATCATTTGGGGAATTGTTTTGTTTTGTTTCATTTCATTTCATTTTTGTCTCCCTATGGAGCTCAGGCTGGGCTCAAACTTGTGTACATCCTCCTGCCTCAGCCTCCCAAGTGTTGGGATTGCAGGTGTGCACCACCATGCCTGGCGCAAATGAATATTTTTGGGTTTTTTTTGTTTTTTTTTTTTTGTTTTTTTTTGTTTTTTTTTGTCTTTTTCCTTTTTTATCGGTACCAGGGATCGAACTCACGACTGCCTGCTTGCAAGGCAGGAGCTTATGCCGCTGAGCTAAATCCCCAGCCCCAAATATTTTTGTTTTTAAAGGGCTTGCTGAGTTTTCCTCCACCTGGTGATTGAAGCCCAAGTCTCAATTTGATTCCTCCCATCGCTGCTAGACCTATGCTTCCCAGTGTGGGGGATTTGCCCTGGTCCCTAAACTTGACCCTAGAACTGTCACCTTCATGGGAAAAAAAAGTACCAAAAGGAACCATTCGCACACAAGGGCCGCAGCAGCAGGCACCGTGCGTGGAAAGATGTGGGCAGTGACCTCATTTCCCACTGAGTCCCACGCACACATGGTGGGAGCCCCAGGTCTTGGATGTGCAAACTGACACTCAAGTCCACCTACCAATGGGCACCATGCCACTGCTCCCCTGCTTCTGTGACCAGGAAGCGGGGGGGGAGGAAGGTGTCTATTCCAGGAATCAGGAGCTCTGCTGCTGAGAACCCGTAAAAACAGCCCCTGAAGCAGGTTTACTAAGCAGGGACACGGCTGAAAAACTCCAGCCAAATGACTCAGTTCCTAGCAAAATGTCATCTGCTCCCCTTCGCTTTGGGACAACCCCAGAAAAGTCTGCACGGAATAGAAACAGAAAGACAGCCGGGCAGGCTGGTGGTGCGCACCGGTCACCCCAACTCAGAAGGCTGAGGCAGGAGGATCACTGTGAGTCTGAGGCCAGCCTGGGGTACAGAGTGAGATCCTGTCTCAAAGAAACCAACAGTAAAAGAAACAGAAAGAAAAAGAAGAGAAACGGGAAGAGGAGGACAGCCCCCTCAGCTGCGAGGCTAAAGTCGTTTCCTCTCACTGAGCTGCCGTCCTGTCAGTTCTGGGACCGCTCGTAGAATTAAAGCACTGGCTGTGAAACACAGGCTGGAGGGCTGGTTTCCTGTCCTCTAAATATACCATCGCCCTGATTGTATCTCGCCCACCACATCACATCACCAAGTTGACTGCCCTTCAGGTTGCAGAGGTCTCCAGATCCACTGGAGCCAAAGGAAGCCCCCTGCAGGAACAGCGTGCTCGGGGTAGGCACCCGGCCTGTGAGCCTGTCCTCTTTGCACTCCTGCAAAACCTTGCATGCTCCTCCTCCTTCCTCCCCATCATCCTCCCCCCCCCCCCCGCATCCTGCTCCAGGGCCACCTCTATCCCCCAGGGTGGGCAGTGACACGCAGCAGCCCTGCACTCCGTGAATGTTATCGGAGGAAGCACTTGAGAAGCAAAAGGCAAACAGAAGCCGCCCCCACCTGCTTCTTCCTCCTGGTGTCTCTGGGAAGAAAGGGCCATTCAGGACTGGGCCGGGTGGCCAGAGGCCACCGTGATCAGTCCAGGGAGCTCAGACACGATGGTTCAATGCTGCCACATCCTGGCTGAGTCACTCGGACCCTCAGGGAGTCGTAAAGATGGAATGGGGTGTCGCCTTGGGCACCACACATGGTGCGCAGCGTTGAGGAGCTGGGTATCCCCAGAGGCCGCTGCCCTTTCTGTCTCCACTCGCGGTCACAGCTATATCTCTCCCCCTTTTCAGCCTATCACACGCACAGCAGTCACAGACACCCGCTGAGTGTCACCCGCCTGCTCCACAGCTGGCCTTTAGGAAGCTTCGGGGCCCCAACCCATGACACCATGTGAGCAGCTTCTGCCTCTGTGTCACCAGTCTGGTTACGTAATGGTCTCTCCTCCAGTAGCCTTCAAGTTCTCTCCAACTCGATGCAGGGTTAAGGAAGGGTTATTCCTGGTCATTGGTGGCTGTTAATCCTGGAACTTAAAATAGAACCTCGATCAATGGTCCCTGGGCTGGGTTTGGTAGCATGATGCTTGTGGTCACAGCACTCAGGAGACTGAGGCAGGAGAATCTGCCCCATCTAAAAAACAATAATAAATGCTCCTTGGGTAAACATTCACAGCTCAATTCATTGTGCCGCCTGAGTCCTGTAGCATCGGGAACAGAAGCCATCGGGACGAGAGGAGCCGGGGAGCAACCTCCCCACCTGGGCTTTCCCAGGCTTCACCCCCCTTTCTTCCACCGATCCGCTTTGATCTTCTCAAGCACTCAGGAAATCAGCCCGTGAAGTGGGCTTGAGCCCCATTGCACAAAAGCACTTCCGAGCCCCAGGCAGCTCCAGGTGCGGATGGATGGAGGGAGAGGTCACCCTAGCTTGAGGACACCTGCAGGGCCTCCCCAGCTTCCAGTCCCAGGAGAAGGACAAGGGTGGGGAGCTCAGAAGGGACCGGGAAAGGGTGCCTTGGAGAAGGGACCTAGCACAGATCCATGTGGGCATTGCCTCGGGGCCACTGCAGGTCACTGGAGTGTGGGAGGGCAGGGTGAGCAGGACACTACGCCCTGGTACTTTTGGACACCAGGGCCGGTGGGAATCCACCCTCCCAGGGTCACCGTGGGTGAGGTCACCCGCAGGAGGAGTAAGATGATGCATTGCACCCTCTCTTCCCATTTCATCTCGGTCATCTGACCCAACAAGGCTGATTTCAGATCTTCCTATCTGTAGTACACAGCAGAGCCTGGAGGACCGTGTCAGTCTCAGCAGGAAAGGAGGAGGGTTTTTCCTGAAAGCTTGGTTCTGACACTTTCTTCTAGAGGATGAGACAGTAAGAAAATAGTCGGCATTCACTAAATGAGCGTTCTAATCCCCGCACTCAGGAGGCTGAGGCAACAGGTCTCCAAGAGTCTGAGACCAGCCTCCACAGCAAGACCCTGTCTGAAATAAAACAGAACAAAACAAAAAAGTCCAGCGCTGTCTCCTAAGTCATCCCTTGGTCTGCCACAGGCACACCCCCATGTCACGCTGCTTTAAGGTTTGTTTTTTTGTTTTTTTGGTTTTTTTTTTTCATCTCTGCCTAGGATCCCCCTTCAGTATTTACTGGGAAGTAAAAGGAATTAAGATGCATTTTGTCCATGTGCCAACTCCCTGCGATGAGTGTGCTAATCATGCTCCACAACCATGGACCCACAAAAATCAAAACTAAGCAACAGAGGCGCAGATGCACATGGCCCCGAAGGGGAGCAGAGGGGAGAGGGAGAAACATCAGCACTTCTGTCCTCTCGGTGTTGGCATGCATGCACGTCTTCCAGGACAGCTTCCAGGCGCCCAGCCCTCCCCACAGTGACCAAAGCCACATTCTTACTCTTGCAGACCCCAGCTGAGGCTAGGCATAAGCCGGGCCCTGGTCATAGAGTAAACTGACCCTGACCACTCAATGAGGGATCAGGCGTCTCCTCCCGGGAATCTCCTGCTTTCCAGATTGAAATAAAAATAAAAATAAAAAAAGCAAGTTGTTCCAGACAATGCTGTTCCCTCTTTCATGCCTTGGATTTGGGTGTAACTTTGCAGCAATTGTATCTATTCTGAGACCAGGAGGTCAAAAGGAAAAGGATCACAACAGCAGGCTGCCTGGAAGGGATATAAACAGAAGCACCCCAAACCCTGAAGACTCAGGGAAGCCACAGAGCTGCAGGGCCAACACCCCTGCCTGCCGGGGACTGACTGAGGGCTGTGCACAGAATGAGTCTGGCAGTGTTCGGCTGTGGGTGTTCAGGTTTTCCCGGGACACTTGCTGGGCGGCCAATGTTCTGTGTTCTCCGAGTCTGCTCTCTGTGCCCGATGTGTCCTCAGGCAGGGATCTGGCTCCTCCTCCTGTCCAGTCTCCCCAGGGCGCGGCCATGCAAGTCTGTGCACAGCTGCCCAAGCCCTGTCCCTGCCACAGCTGGACCTGCTGGGCCCTCACAGCTCCTCCCCTCCCTTCATCTGCAGCCGGCCTGCACCCCACACACCCATGACCGGGGCCCAGACTTTTGGGTCTGCTACCCTGAATCCCCCCTGGGCAGGTAGCCTTGAGCTTTTCCCTCTAGGACCAAACCCCGGCTGGCCCTTACCCCTTACCCCACCCCACTGTGTGTCTGGTGCCCCCGATATCTGCATCACCCCACTTCCAGGCCTGCACCTTCCTGCCCTCCAGGGCATGCAGTGAACAGTCTCATCCTGCTCAGCGCCTGTGTCCAACCTCTGAAGTCACACAGAACCCAAGCAAACACAGCTTGTCACCACAGAGACCAAAGTTCCCACTGGGTGGGGGGGAGGCGCAGAGCCAACAGGGTAGGGGTGGGGGAACACAGCTGGGATTTGAGAACCCAGAGAGCTGGTTCCTTTCCCTCACCGCCTAGCCCTGCCCCCAGCTTCCCAGGGGTGTGGAGACCCTCAGGAAGGGGGTTCAAGGACGCTGAGATAGGAGCTGTCAGCACCACTATCACCAGGGTAGTGACAGGAAGGACAGGGCACCAGGGCCACCGGTACCCAAGCCAGGTGCTGAGCACAGTCGTCACATGCCCCTGGTGGCCTCTGGGACTTGGTCTTGTCCCCCTCGGCCAATAGAAAGCAGAGGCAGAGCAGGCTGGGAAATGGTGGCACTACCGCTGCTGAGGGAAGAGCCGGGCACAGCCTTGGCTACCAGGCTGTCCATCCGAGCACCTGTCACACCGTGGCGCTCTCTCTCTCTCTCTCTCTCTCTCTCTCTCTCTCGCTCTCTCTCTCTCTCTCTTCCCCTCATTTTTTCATGGAACCCAAGGCCTTTGCACTTAGCTACATCTCCTGCCCTTTTCTTTGTGTTTTGAGACAACGTCTTGCTATATGACTGTTGCCAAACTTTTGATCCTCCTGTCTCAGCCTCCCAGAGTGCTGGTATTAGACACACACACCTGGCCAGGTCACTCTCTCTCACTGGGAAGTGGCTCTTCAGTGACTACCCAAGCCAGGTCCTAGAGAGGGGGCTCCCCAGATGTGGGACTGAGCTTGGGAACACAGAAGAGACCTCAGGACTCAGCTATGCCACAACCAAGGGAAGACTCCAGTTAAACCCAAGGCTCCCAAGAAGCCAGGGGAACTGGAAAGAAAGTGATTGGGGAGGGAGGCAGCCAGGAACCAAAGTGCAGGGCCTCCACACTGTTCCCCTGCCGGCTTGCCCAGCACAGTGGGTCAGATGGGCAGGGCCAGGGTTTCCTCCCAGTGTGAAAATGCAAAGTGACTGCAGCTGTGAAGCCCAAGGGGCTACTGTGTCCCAAGAACCCCAGGGCGGGGCAGCACTCCCAGGGCCTGGCTGATCTCCAGTGGTCAGGCCCAGCCCCCAAGCCTACAGGAGCCAGCACCAGGAGGAACACAGGTGTTACAGGGGAACTAGTGCTCCTGGGCCACTGCACCCAGCCTTCTCTCTGGGGCCTGGCTCACACCTTTGGGGACTTTCCTGACCCACAAGGGCACAAAGGGGAAGTGGTCAGCAGGACCAATGTGACCACTACTCGGGAGGCCAGCAAGTGGCTCCAGCCTGTTCAAGCAGGACCTGGCCTGTCCTCCACTTCCTGCTTGGCTGAGTTGCCACCCAGGCCAGGCACAGCGAGACAAAAATGCCCATTTCCCTGGCACCTCATGGCACAGACCCATGCAGAGATGCCCATGGCAAGAACAAGCAGGCCCCAGCTCCAGGTGTGACTGCAGGGCTGTCACTGTCCCTCTGACACTTGCTGTCCCCTCCCAGCCTGACTTCTAGCTCAGCATGGTAACACTGGCACCCCTGAGCAAGCACAAACTGCAGGGAGTTAACAGATACTCAGCTTTGCCAGGCAGAGCTAGGAAGGCTCTGGCTGCAGAAGTGGTCAATGGGACTGAAATTGGCTCCCCTGCCCCACAGTCAGGGCCAGCCAGGCTCCTCCTGGCCCTTACTCTGGGTTCAAGTCAGCCTCAGCAGGTCTCAGGTGGAAAGTGGTGTGAGGGCTCTCCCTCTTCCTGCCATCTGTGTTGTTTTGTTTGGTTTTTGAGACAAGGTCTCTCTGTGTAGTCCAGGCTGGCCTAAGACTCAAGACAAGCCTGCTGCCTCAGCCTCCTGGGTGCTGGGGTGACAGGTGTGTGCCACCATGCTCAGCTGGCCTGCCCTCTAAACTCTTCCACTGAGAGGCCACCTGAGCAGACTTGAACACCACCAGGGATAGGTGCCCACTCTGTCCCTTTACCTGTACTACATGGGCAGATGAAAGTGGGACTTTGATAAGCATGAGGCCCTCTCTGCTCCTAAGACCATTTGTGAACATGCACACACAGTGTACATACACACATGCACATGCACACAATGTGCACACACACATACACACATACACAGAAAGCCCCACAGGTGAACCCGGAGCTTTGCTCTTGGGCTGGACTTGAGCATGAAGCCTATATAGGCAATCCCTAGCCCACAGCGATGGACCTCAAAGAAGCTCCACTTACCAGCAAGGAAGCAGTTCACAGGTCGCCCAGCAATGCTGTACTTCCAGTACTGGGCCATGTGCCTGGAGATTTACAGCCACATGTACGTGTGCATGCATGCGTGTACAGTGTGCATGTGTGTATTTGTCACTGAAGGGGACTTGAGGTGTCAGACGATGGCAAATTTGAGCCAAGCCTGGGCAATTTGGCAATATATAGAAACCCTGTCTCAATAACAAGTATAAGAGGGCCCAGGACACAGTGGCACAGCACTTGCTTGGCAAGCATGAGGTCTTGAGTTCAATTCCCAATGCCAATAAATAAATGAAAGAGTTCGGGTGGAGTTCCTGCCTCAGCCTCCCAGAGTGCTGGGATGATGCATGTGTACCACTGTGCCCGGCTGGGCTTATGATTTTCAAACTCCACCTTCCCCCTCCCTGATCGAATTTAGGCTGCAGAGACAGAAGTGGGTGGAGCAGAGGCACCCAGGCCAGTGGACGCGCATCTTGGACACAAATCTCAGCATGAAGGGGAAGAGTAGAGCTGAGCCGAGCTTTACCACGTGCAGTGCCTGTGCTTCCTGCTGTCCACATCTATCAGTAATGGCACCCAGGGACAGTCCTTGAGGCCCACTCCTGCCCCTCCCCAACTCAGCTCTCTGCTGCCTTCCTTCCTAACAGCATAGACAGGAGCCACCCTGACCTTAAACCTGGGCGTGGCCACCAGTCACCTGACCTCGCCAAGCCCACACCTCCCAATGGGAAAAGCCAGTGACCCCTGACCTGTACTGCCACCCCCCCCCAGGCCTCCACAAGCCGCAAAAGCAGCTGAGTCAGGGGTGCCAGCAGCAGCACGCAGGGGCCAGCAGGAGAACCTGGGCAGATGGGGAGCAGAGGCGAGAGAATCAGGAACTGGGCACCAGCTGCCAGGGCCCCGTGTGATTTCTTCAGCTCTGCCACTTCCCCACTTTTTCCCCATGTCACGCCCCATGCGGCCTGACAGTTGATTTACTTAGGACAGCAGGTGGCCTGCAGGGTCAGATGAGATGGCTCACCAGCCTGGGACAGCCCAAGAGAGAGGCCAGGAAGGAGGGGAGCCAAGCCTAGGGGGCTACACAGCCTGACCCACGGGACCCCAGCTCCTGCAGGAACCTGCTGAGCATAGAGACCTGAGTGGACTCCAGGGTCCAGGCAGGGCTGTCACCTTGAGGAGAGGCAGCCTGTACCATACCAGAGCTCTAAGCACCATCCCCCTCTCCCTATGCACACAGACACAGGGAGGCGGAGAGGAGGAC